TACATAAACAAGAAAATTAATTAAAAAAATTAATAAGGGCACAATAGTCTTTTTAGGTAAGACAGAGACCAAGTCCGTAACAAAATTAAATAGTAGGGACCATCCGAGTTAAAAAATTAAATTAATAAAAAATAAATAGTAGGGATCATCCGAGGAGATACAAATATGTGTGGTATATTAAATTTTATAAATATGTAGAAAATAAACATAGATAAGAAAATTAATTAAAAAAATAAATTAATAAAGGCACAATAGTATTTTTAGGTAAGATGGGGACCAAACGTGCAACAAAAATAAACAATATGAACCATTTAAATTAAAAAAAATAACTTAGAGACCAAAACCACAAATTCCCCCAAACTACAAGGACCATTCATGTAATTTAATTTTTACTTTTCGTTTTGTTCATGTTTGGGTAACTATTTTTTTTGTACACATCTAGGTAACAAACTTGTTGAAAGCCTTCACATTTAAGATTTAACAGGTCATAATGGTCATATGTGAACACTCCCAAAAAATTTGTTACCTACATATGTAAAAAAAAAAAGATAGTTACCCAGATATGAATATACCGAAAAGTTAATTACGTTAATAAGTCATATTTCCTCGATTTGAAATCACTCTCTACTCACTCCACTCTCCTGTCAAGCACTCTACCCGAAATCTGCTACCATAAGCCGCCGCCTGTTGCTCTCATTCACTTACAACTATTCACCTTCCTCCGCCATAGGTACGTTTTCATAACTCCATTAGTCATCGTAAACAACCTTACCACCATGGAGGTCGATGCCATCCTCCCCTTTACATACGACCAAACTATTCATCATCTACCTTACCGTAATCAAACACCCACACAACCAATGTGGTTTCTCATGTCATTCTCCCTCTCTCTTTCCTCTTCCTTCAGAAACGCCATCCTCACTACCACCACAATCCACTTCTAATCTTTCCTAAAAACCCTATATGTATTTCTGACAGCATCGAGGTCTGTCTTTCTATCCTTCTATATTATCGTGTGTTTAACTGTGTGTGGGTGGTTTGTTGATTTGTAACTGTTTAAAAACCTTGTAAATTATTTTGTTCTTGATTTATTTTTTTCATTTGTTGCAGATTTTGATGTTTCTTCTTTTTGAACATTAAATAGCCTCGAGTATGCTCATGTTGCTTCCGATTCTATAAAGTTCTTTGAAGCGTCAAGTTTCAGAAGGCTTTAATGACACCCATCAAAAAGTTTTTGAAGAAAATGAGTTTCTTCTACTTGGAAGAAAAAGGAAAAAGGAGATAGATGGTAGTTACGATTGATGCTCTTCTTGTGCTTGTGTTTATGCTTTTCTGATAGATTTACAAACGAAATGCTTGATTTTTTTTCTTTTTTATTAACATATGAATATGTTTGTGTCTTTATATGGGAAATGAGATATGTGCGTTCATATTGTGTTTAACAGTTTAACCTTACATGTCCACACACAATCGTATACTGACTAAATAATTTTTCTACCAATTGAAACTCATACATTTAATTTAATTAAACATACTTGGTATGCAAATATAGAATAACATAATAAAGTTATAAAATTTTTCTCTGAACAAATAATGCTTTTATTTGAAAATTTATTCGTCTATAGAAAAACATTGTTTCTTTGTAAGGATAGTTAAAAAAAATACAAAATGGCTACATATTTAAATGAAACGAAACGACATACGTTTGTTGTAATGACTAATTATATAGTACTCCTATGATAATTAAAAGCAAAGCAATTTGCAATATCAGACGTGAAGATTGAAAAATGTGATAATAAAATATATTAATTAAGGACATGACAAAATTTAAATTTTATTAGTTTTTTGTTGTTTTAGTAATTTCAATCGAAGAAGTTAAATTGGAAAAATATTTAACATTGAAATGAGAGTGATATAATATCTAAAATCCAAATGTACGGATACAAGGTCCAACTTTTAATGGAAGCTATGAAAATAATATTGACAGAAGTAATGCAAATGTTGCATATCCATTACACTGAAAAGATAGGCTAAGGCTTGTAGGCATCCGCAATTCAACGAGTTCCATTTTCATCTGATTTTGATCAATTATTTTTTATGATTTAATAATAAATCTATTTTAATTATCTACTAAACTTTGATCTAATCTTTTTATTTCTGTTTTATTTAATTAAATATCAATTTTTATAATCTCATTTGACTCTCTTAAATTTTACGTTTTATATTAATATATATTGATGATTTGTATTTTCTAAACATTAGCTCATAAGACACTTGATAATTTAAGATCAAATAAAATTAATTAATCATGTTATACTTATATTTTTTCCGTGTAAAACGTTTTAGTATTTCTAAACTATGTTTTGATATAATTGACTAGAACGTTTTGGTATTTTTATTATTTATAAATTATATTTTAATATCATTATAAACTGGATTTAGTATACGATATATCATGTCATTAATTTTTTTAAGGCTTAAGGTATCCGGTGAAAAGGAGCTTTTATATGAATTTATGAGAAGTGAAATTTTTATATTAATTTTTAGAACCAACAAATGGAATAAAGAGATTATAAAAAATAATAAATTATTAAGAAAAAGGAAAACATGAAAATACGTCTCCACTCTATGATTTTTTTTTTGAGATGATTTATTTTTTGTCGAAAAATTGAATCAAATTTTTTATCCAATGAAAATGAATCTTAGAAAGGTTTTTCGTTTAATTTTTCTGAAGAAATGATGTTATCTTCTCATTATTATTTAATGATCCAATTTATTGGTTAGCAAAAAAGAATGCAAATAATTTAATGTATTGGTTCAAAAAAAATCCTTTAATACAAACCTCATCCTCATTTATGTTTTATATGTATTTAATTGATATTTTTTTATGACGAATACACAAATTGTCAGGTTTATATCACATCATAACTTTTTTAATCTTCATCATATTCAATCGATTAAAGATAAACATAAAATAAAATTACATGTATACTTAGCTATGCGAAAAAAACAATCATCTAACACAAAATTGTTCTGACAAAAGGTTGAAAGGTACTGCGTCACCAAAAAAAACCAATCGATGTATGAAAAGTGCCCGCCAATAAAACTATCTGGCGCCGTTGCGTCGCACGGGTACCCCACTAATATATATATATATATATATATATATATATATATATATATATATATATATATATATATATATATATATATATATATATATATATATATATATATATATATATATATATATATAGGGTATACTTAAAATAAAAACTCTAAATAAAATGAAAACATGAGAAGATTCTTAGCCAATCATTTTTTTTAATTAAGTTATTTTAATTAAGTTATTTTTTTTAATTAAGTTATTTAAGTATACCCTCTATATATATATATATATATATATATATATATATATATATATATATATATATATATATATATATATATATATATATATATATATATAGGGTATACTTAAAATAAAAACTCTAAATAAAGTGAAAACATGAGAAGATTTTTAGCCAATCATTTTTTTAATTAAGTTATTTTTGGTTATTAATAAAAACATAAGTCAAAATTATATTAATAAATATGTAGGGGTAAAGTGGTAATTGTATTTTAACATAATTATGTAAATAAAAGAAATTTGTGGGATTGTTAAATTTTTGAAATTTAAAATTTCAGATTTTATAAATTTCAAAGTTTTATTTTACGTAAATTTAAAATCTTGTATTCATTGTACAAATATATAATACTTAAGGTAAATATCAATTAACAATGTATATTCATAATAGAATACATATAAATTCATACAATCCAAAATCATAACAGGATATAAAATTGTCATTTTCCTTATTTAACATATTAATTCAGAGGTTTCAACCAAACAGTATGTTAAAAAATCAGATCTTAAAAATCCAGAGTCTCTTAGAAATTAAAACCTCTTAAAAATTCAGAACTTAAAAATTAAGATCCTGCCAAACAGTCCTTAAATCATAAGTAACTAATATTGTATATAGAAAGATGAATTTATATAAAAAAAATATATGTATTCAACTAATTTCTTCTATCCCGTTGATCTTGGTGTTGAGTATGTTTATTCTTGGCCTTGACTATATTTCTTTTGTTGATCTTTTTTAAGTTGTAGATACACAAAAAATCATAAACAATAAGACGTATGTAAAAATTCATAGCAGAACAACAATAAAACAAGAGTTTGTATATATAAATTCATGATAGAATATCAGTAAAACAATATTTTGTTTATATAAATTTATTATAGAATAACAATAAAACAAGAGTTTATATATAAAAATTCATAACAAAATAATAATAAAGCAATAGTTTGTATATATAAATTCATAATAGAATAACAATGAAAAAATATATAAAAAAATATCCATATCCATAATAGAATATCCAAACATGAATAACAAATGAGATTCAAATTCATTCCTTTTATAATACATTTTTAACAAAATAAAAAGTTGTCAAATAAATTCTTATAAGAATAAATAAAATGAGATTCAATCTCATTCACTTTACCATATATTTTTAAATGTATAAGAAAATTACATTCAATTTCTTATGTACATGAGTTATTCCTTTAAAAATATATAAAATAATAATACGCAAAAGATGTTAGGTCACTAAGATTCATAATCAAGCCATCATTAATCAAGAAGTGAATCTTAAATCATAAAGCCATGTTTAATCAAGAAGTAAGTCTCTTAAGATCGAGCATGCGGTGTACCAAGAAAAAAAAAATAAAAAGAAAAAAAAATACATGTTTTGTTATTAGCCTTAAATTATAAGAAAAACACAAACTGGAAAAGGTATTCTTGATCTGGACTTACAATCAAAGTGACGAAAAAAACTGTACAATCAAAAACAAGATCTAGAAGTAATAAAATAGTGATATCCAAATATAATTATAAGACAAACTTGTCATGATTATTTAGTATATTTAATATATAGGCAGACAAATATAGAATCTCTCAAGTCCAAACATGTATCCTTGGTGGGTTATTATTTTCTTTATCACCGAGCAAGTAGAATCCATCCTCTTTGACCTTCCATTCACAAAGTCCTGCACTCTGTGTTGAATAGGCCTTGGGGCAATATCTTTTGGATAAACCATTATCAAAAACAGTAAAGGCCGCAGTCTTTGATTTGGATTTCCAAATAAACTGACCATAAAAGAGAGTGCTCTTAGTGGTATTCATGCAGAAGTCCCAACTTTTGGATCCATTAGGTCCCATTGTATTATTTCCTAGATCATTGTTTTTTGACTTTACATGAACAATGATTGGCTCTGTAAGCTGGTTGTGTATACGAACAGTCCATTTCTTCGTGAAATAACAATCTAGCTTGGATGTTATGTTACCTACTTGAGATATATCAGAAAATGCATTTGCTGTGATTACAAGGTAAAACATTATGAAAAGCAAGCTCATCGTAGGTGTCTTGATTCTTGAATGAGTAAATAAGAAAATAGTTCTTCCCATATATATATAGGTTATGATAAAGTAGTTTGTTAACTCATTCCAAATGAATGATAGTTTGTTTTGTCATTTGAAAGAAATGATAACATTGTGTTTCAACATTTAAGAAAACCGTATGTAAGTAATAAATACGCTAATATCATCAAGCGTAAATTTCAAAAATCATCCACGTGGTTGGGTTTAATATACAAATTTCATCATTAAGCGAAAATTTTCACTTCGACAACCCATATGATGTATTTTAATTGTTGAAATTTTAAGTTTTGGTCCAACTTATTTTAATACTATAGTTAAAATCTTGTTTAGATTTAAAAATTTCATGGAGACATTTCTGGAAGAAGAGAAGATCTCGTTACAAAATTGTTATTGGATTCCTGAATATTTTAGAGACTATGTGAGAAAAGTATCCACACCATTTTAATACGATGGTTGATGAAGATGGGAAGAGATACAAGTTTTGACCTAATTTTGGACGAGATATCAGTGATTAGTTTGTTCTAGGATATTTTGAGGATGCTTAATTTTAGCAAGCTTGGAATCCTCGAAAATTTCTCTATACAGGTTGTTCTGGAAGCTACCTCCAAACAACTTCCAATTGAAGCTCAAATCATGTCGTTAAGATTATTTCCTTTGATGGACAGAGAAAAGTACCGGTAAACATGATGATTTGACCCATTTTTTCCGGTTTACGGATTTATTACTTACATTTTTCACTAAAGTCTCATTATTTTACCCTAAATTGCGAATAAGTCCCAAAATAAAATTTAATGATAATTTGACCATTTTCTTCATGTAACATACATTTTATCGGTTTCATTGTTGACTTAGACACCTAGTCATTAAATTAGCTGATAAGATGAATACGATGGGTTATATAATGTCACATTTACTGTATAATATGATACCCATCTGATACCCATCTCATCGGCTCATTTATAACTATGTATCTATGTCAGCAATGAAACCAATAAAATATGTGTTTCCAAGAAAAAAGGGAAGAAAATGAGTTGATGTCCGATGAGATGGATATATTGGGTTACATAAGATTAGATTGTAACGAACCGTCTCTGGTATGTTGTTTTTATGTTATTTATTTAGAAGTTTGCAGAGGGACTCGACGAGTCTATTGCCCGACTCGTCGAGTAGAGACGGGATCTTAAGCAGCGTATAGATCGGCGACTCGATGAGTCCATATTCGGGACTCAGCGAGTCCGCCTGCCAGGTAGAAACCCTAAATCCCCGGGTTTGCACCCTATTTAAACCATCTTATGAGTCCCAAACTCGTCTCCTTCACCCTCAGAACATCATTTAGCAAACCCTAACCATTCCCTTGAGTGTTTGAGCATTTCTTGTGTGAATCTTGAAGTTTTGAAGAGAAGAAGGAGGCTAGATCCAAAGGAGAACAAGAAGATCCAAGATCTTGCACCCAATACAGAGTTTATTGAGGTAATAATCGGATTCCTTCTGTTTCTATGATTGATTCTCCATTATAAGCATATTTAGCCCATTTTATCCATTTCTTAGCTTGTTCATAGTACAAAGATCACATTAGATTGATTAGCCTTCGGATCTAGCCGTGTTTCAGTTCTAAAATCGTAGATCTAACACCTTTATGGAGCCATTTTGCAAGATAGCCCTAGATCTACTCTTCTAAGTGTCTTTTTAGCCTTTAAATCCCTTTTCATGCATATGTACACGTAAAGTTGGAAACTTTACGTGGTAAACCAGCCTTAGAAACTCAGATCTATAAATTGTATGCAGTGGTTTTGAGCAGAATCGAGTTTTTAGTAACTGCATGCATGTGACTAGGTGAGTCGTTCTTCGGACTCGGCGAGTAGAGTCGCAAGTCCCCGATCTTTCCCCTTAGAGTGATTCCGAGTGGGGACCAGTGAGTAGTAGAATGGACTCAGTGAGTCGGAGGTTAGACTCAGTAATGGAGGGACTCGACGAGTTGTTCATACAACTCGGCGAGTCTAAGGCAATCTTCTTAGATTCAAGAACAACTCGCCGAGTTTTTCATACTACTCGGCGAGTCGGATGTAGATAGCCTGAGTTTTAGAATCGAATGGGAACTCGTCGAGTTTATGCCATACTCGACGAGTAGCAGCGAACAGGGTTGAGAAGTGAGAGTAGGGACTCGGTGAGTTGGTGGCCTAACTCGGCGAGTCAGGTCAACTGTAAGTTGACTTTGACCAGGAGAGTTGATTTTAGCCAGGGGTAAATTAGTTATTTTACCCCAATGCAGTTATTAGTATTTGATTGAGTGTATTTGTGGAATTGTAGCCGGGGTGATTCTGGAGCAACAACAGATAGCTTCCAGAGCCATACACTCAGCAGCCAGATCACGAGGTGAGTTTCCTTCCAGTAGGAACGGGTCTAAGGCCACAATGCCGACCCGTTCAGTTAGTAGTAGTTTCCGGACTTTGGTCCGATGCAGTAGTTAGTATGTTTGATGCCTTCGTGGCTCAGACAGGATTTATGTGTTATGTGTTATGTGTTCCGGGCTAAGGCCCGATGTAGTATCCAGTATATGTGTTCATGCTAGTTGATATGTTATGCGATGCTATGTTCAGTCAGTTTCCGGACTTCGGTCCGATGCAGGGGGAAAGGCCCCAGTTAGTCCGGACTTCGGTCCGATGCAGGGGACAAGGTCCCAATCAGTTTCCGGACTTCGGTCTGATGCAGGGGCAAGGCCCCAGTTAGTTCGGACTTCGGTCCGATGCAGGGGACAAGGTCCCAGTCAGTTTCCGGACTTCGGTCCGATGCAGGGGGCAAGGCCCCAGTTAGTCCGGACTTCGGTTCGATGCAGTGGGCAAGGCCCAGTATGTGCTTTATATGTTATTGTATGGTATGTGGTAGTTTGGGGGAGCTCACTAAGCTTCGTGCTTATAGTTTCAGTTTTGGTTTCAGGTACTTCCGCAAGCAAAGGGAAGAGCTCGGGTTGATGGCATCGCACACACCACAACTTCAGTTGTGCTGGGAGTTGTTTTTAGTTTTTCATAGATGTGATTTGATACAGTCTTGAGACAGTTTACTCATAACACTTTGCTATTGTTTTTGAGATATTGACGTACGAGTTTTACTTTATGATATTATCATAGTGTTTTTAGTAATTATTATACAAAAATTTTTGGGTCGTATTTTGGGATGTTTCAAGTTGGTATCAGAGCCTTGGTTTGAAGGATTCGGATACACTTTCGGGTGTGTCTGAACTCAAACTAAGGAAATGGTAAAGATTTTCAAAAGAAAAATGTCTTTGAAAAAGAACTTAGAAAGAAGAAGAGTTTTTATAAAAGGAAAATGGTGTGGCGTATGCGATCAACTGAGCTCAAGTAAGTACTCACAAATTACCCATACAAGTTATGTTATGATTGTCAGTTTTAGTTTCAGTAGAACAACATGCTAGAATAGGACTAAGGATCTAGGAGGATGCCTTATGTGCCTACTTTATGTGTTTCAGCTTTACAAGATTTGCATGCTAGTATTGAGTAGACAGTAGTAGGATAGCCTCTTTAGGTTATGCCTGATTGTATGAGCTCAGCATTGTATGCTAGTACAATATCTCGTTATGAGAATAGATTTGCATGAGTAGTTTCCTATATCCGAATGCTGCTTGCTTTGTGCTTTCTGGGACTCTGAGTGATGGGAGTTAGCCATTAGGTGAATACGTCACATCACATGTGATCAGGGTTGAATAATCTCAGAGTGTTGGATTTTGCCCTATTACGCAGCTCTTGTTTGAGTCTAACCTTTGTAGGGACGAGTCTTTTACTCGAAGGATCATCTTAGCCTCATCACATGTGATGGTATTCAGGTGATGACTAATTAGTATTACAAGGAGGCCTTCAGCAGCTGAGGACTGGTTTGAATGGAGTCAGAGATTTCCCTAGGGCAAGCCTAGGATGAGAGTAGCAGAGATCAGTAGTAGTAGAAGTGACTTGGTGGAGTCAAGGCAGTTCTTGAGGAAAGTACGGATAGATGTGGAAGGTAGTATGGGCCCGTACTACTGAAAGCAGAGTATCCGTACTCGAATCAAGGAAGGCTGAGACAAGACCAGGAAACTAGTATTGGTATCAATGATCCCTTGAGATATTTCAGTTTTCTGATGTTGCTATGATTTGTTTCAGAATGGTAGTTTTGCGTTCGAGGCCAACAGTCGGTAGTTCAGGTGCCGGAGGGGGATCAGGACCAGGCCCGGAGGCCGGGTAGTTGGATGACCAGACCAAAGAGTTTCTTTCTTCAGAGATTACTCGTATCATACTGGAGCAGACTCCTGTGATCTTCGGTTCGATCAAGGAGGGTATTCTAGAGCTGATGGATGAGAGATTGGGCACCTTCCGTGCCGAGGTGGCGGCCATGATGGGGTCGCGCACACTTACATTCAGGGAGTTCAGGGCATGTGTAGCTCCAGATTACCATGGGGCGCGAGACCCCATAGCGAGTACTAGATGGTTGGCGGATGTGGCCAACGCTTTCCGCACGAGCAGGTGTCCCGAGGGGGACAAGGTTAGATTGGCGTCATGTCTTCTAAAGGATAGGGCACGGGATTGGTGGGAAGAGGTCGGACATACCATTAGAGATGATGCAGCGCTAGATGCCATGACCTGGACTGATTTCTCCACCAGGTTCAGGGCGGAGTTTGCACCGGTTATTGAGGTGCAGTATTTAGCCAGAGAGTTTCTGGACCTCACCCAGACTACAGAGACCGTGGCGGAGATCACCGCCAAATTCAGGGAGAGGGCTCTTCTCATTCCTCAGTATACAGCCGATGAGGAAATGAAGAAGACCCATTATCATGAGATGCTGCAGAGCGATATCCACCAGTTTGTGAGCCGGTCCAGCTGTAAAACGTTGGATGACATGATTGCTAGGGCTCGGGAGAGGGAGATTGACCTTGAGATGGAGAAGAAGAGGAAACCGAAAGCGGTTTCGGGTACAGGTAGTTCGGGAAA